CCTAATGGTATGTGCTACTTATGACGCTTGCGCGAAAGCGAAACGTGCGTCTAGCATTAGAAGTGCTATAACAATCCCCTTAAAGTGCTTAAACATTCTATCAGACTATATCATTAATCGAACAGACATCCTTAGTCAACTACAATAATCCTAGGACTTCAATGACCCCTGTCATGGATGATCTTATTCTTCATTCATCAGAGCGCATAACAAAGCATGATAGTTGCAAAATTTTCAACGGCATTTCCTCAGCGTAGATCGTTATCGTGCTGCTTCGAATGATTTTTTTCTGCTTATAGCAATATCGATCCTCCTGCTATGATCCCCTACAGCTAGCATTCACTATTAGCCTAGTTAGGTGGGCTGCATAAGGACCAAACCTTTGTTTTCTTCACTATTCGAGCAGCTTTGGTTTGAGTAAAAACGCGATCTTCACTATTTGTCTAAGAGGCTGACAAGCTGGCACAAGTTTCAAGTTCATCGACGAGCAGTTGGGAATACTAGATTTTAATATAGCTATTGTTTCAATCAAATCCTCGCGTTCTTGTTCATGCCAACGAGCAGCTAAGCTTAACATTTCGTATGCTTGTGTGTTCCACAGACCATACGCTGGAGATCCACAAAAATAATGCAGAAATGCCGCGAACGTACGAGAATACAACTATTCAAAAGATTGTGCACAACGAATGGCCGGTATCCAGTGTTGATCCACCACCACACCCTAAACACTTTCCGGCAGTAAATAGCGAGTACCTCGCGGGTCGCCTAGCCTGACTATTTTGAGATTGCAAGCAGATGTGATCAACCAGTATCGTATGTCTCATGAAGATGAAATCCATTATAATGCGATAAAAGCGAGAGACAAGTTGCATGCTAAAGGTGTGGGATCGTCAGTAAAAAGAAAGTTTGATTCGATGGATTAAGGCGATAAAAGTGCGCAACGATAGAAAAGCTTTCCTCTATTCCAGTCCGTTATATGAACACCTTTCAAATCGAAGTAAACAAGTTACTGAACACATTCTAAGGAGCTAAAGGGCTTTGTGAAAATGAGAAATGCCTTCGCACCAATGTTGAGAATCGTGCACGAAATCTTTGTCATTGCGCTAAAATTGTATTAACTGACTTTTCTATAATGTGATTTTATGGAAGAGATGACAAACAGAAGCTCAGAGAATCGTGATAAACATCAAATAGCGCCATTCTGATATAGCCGTCGTCGTCGTCCAAACTACGTCTCACTAGTTTCAGTAAGTCGAACACAGTACGGCAGATCACCGAGGCGTCCGCTTCGCAACTGAAGCTCATAAATGAGATCCAAGACCTTTCGGTATAAGATTTGATTCTACTACGTCTACGTGGCTGATTTCAATTCAATATTTACTTGTTATTCGTATTCCAGCCGGTCCACCTAAAAGGTTCCCGCTTCGAGCTCGCTTCATTAGAAGTGCGATTTATTTGTGGAACGACCGAATGGAAGATCATGAAAAATGACACTATTAGATTGATTTTATTCAGTGATTCAACAATATTGGTGAGTTGTTTTAACTGAAAACGCACACATATACAGACACACGCAAATGTGAATGCATGCTTGCATAGTGCCACACACAAGCGATTGCACACATACGTGCATTTGTCATAACGTACATAAGCACCTACATACGTACATTCACACGTGCCAAACCGATGCATCTATTATGCATGTGAAAATTTTAGATTTGTAAAAAGAATCACACATTTGGAGAAGGAACCTTTTTGGGAAGAACGGCTATCGCAAAGAGCTTGTCAGGATTGTTAGAAAAGCCGTATGAGTTGATATCTTTCTTAATTACATTACTATTAATCTGGAACAATCCGACGTCACATGTGCGGGTTCTCGTTTTCCCTGCATCTGACTCAACTCGTTTGCTTTCTTCTATTGTCAACGAAACTTTTGAAACTTGCACTGGGGTTAGGCCCAACTGTTGCTTGAAAATTTCAAAATGTAATTAAATAAAGCCACCTTCTGTAGCATATTGTATCTTTAATAGAGCGATCTGACATTTCAAGACAAGTCAGACAGCTTCCCGATCTCTGAACCATGGGGGTCTCTTTAACTTCATAGGGTCGGGTTGCGTCAGACGACGAACTCATTCATAGTAAATATAATCGTTTGACAGCGTTTTCAAGCCCTTACGTCATTCATACAATGAAAATGCATGTCATATTTCTGGTACTCACGCAGCTATGGTCACTGGAGGCTAACTTTAATAAAGAAACCGAATTTTGCAAAGGATATAACATGCTTAGAGTCGTTGGGTCTTGTGGTATACAGGTTCCTATTTCGTCCTATTGGGACTCATCAATACCACCCTCCCTCGATTCGGCCGATTCCCTGAGGTTGAATAGTCCTCTATAAAGGAATCGACGCCAAGTAAAAATTCATTCAAGGTTAGATGATGTAGTTACCTGACATTGTGGTGACCGGAAGCTGACTCAGGGGATCGGCTGAGCCAAGGGAGGGTGGTACTGATGAGTCCCAATAGGACGAAACAGGCGCCTGTATACCACTAGACGTAACATCTCAGAACATGTTATATCCTTATCAGATTATATCACTTTAAGCAAGTCTGTAAAAAAGCGGCCGATATAAGAGACTCAATTTTGTAGTCCATCGTTGTGATTTATAATCGTTTCAGCTACCGGTTTGTAATGGACTTTCAAGCACAGAGGTTCCGAGGCGTCAATTTCATTTATTGCCCGCGATCGAAAGGTGTTTTGTTCATCTCAAGATAATTTTTGAATACTTGCCAAAATTAACTGTCATTTAACAATTAGTTTCTTTATCAAGAAATTTGAAGAGTATAAACTGCAAAAGAAATGCCAATGGTCAACCATTCAATGGGTTCCATTGATCCGAAATAGTCTCTATCTTACTGCTTAACGTTTTGCGTAATTCATCTTCTAGAATTCCTTTTTTGCGCTTATGTTTTTGAGGGTTATCAAGCTTTTGAGACAAGTCAACTATTACAAAAAAAGCATCGCTATTCCAAACTCTTTGTATACATTTCTCTTGGCGAACATTGTCAGTGCAGTCTATCAGCGCTTATAACATCGCCCGTCGTTGGAACATCAATTTACGATGATTGCTAAGCCATTGCTTCCCATCATGAGCTCTCATATTCCTCCGCCAAATCAATTCACAGAAAATGATCTTCGTTTATTCTAGAAAAAACGAGTGCATTGGAACGAACTCCGATTTCCTGTTGGGAAATCAGAAACATCCGTGGCGACAGCAGTTGGTATGTTGAAGTGGATGGCGTCGTAATGGAGAACTTCACAAAGTTGCTTCAAGATTTTATTTCGAGGAGTGATGTAAGTGGATCAAGAATTCTGCCGAGCGTCAATTGAGATTCAATGATAATGGCGCGAAGGCAGTCCTTTCCAGGGCTTCATTACTGTGGAATGAAGTCATGAGCATTTTAGTCGATTTCTTGAGGCAATCTAAAGGGTATCGCCACAAGTCTTTTAGCTACATTCAAAAAGCATTCGACTTTATCTTCATTGTATAGCGTAATGTAATAGTCGTAATCATTACTCATCGAAAAAAATTGTTAGTCATGTACAAGCATGTTTCGATAAAGACACGAACTCTATCAACTTCATGGTGACACAATTCATATTAATAACTCTCCTTGACAAGTTCTGTAACGCCTAACTTACTCTTAGCCCATAGTTTCGAAGGACTTATTGAGAGACAATGAGAATTACAATAGAATTTACCAATGAGTCTTTAACAATGAGTATATCCGTAACATATTGCCATCGCTAGAAGCGGTTCCATGGAAAAAGAATTCTGAGTCCTTAATAGTTGGCTCAGTGTGCTGATATTCCGATTAGGCGACTTCCAAACTTTCCAATTCAGAATGATCGCAATCTTGTGTTTGAAAGGGAAATGAAGTTTATCGATGTGTCGCATGAGTGCAGAGGTGCGGTGAAGGAGGAGTTGAAAAGGTGTGTTCAAAGAATGAAGCAAACGTCTTGAATCGGGTACAATAATTTTGTTGACTTTATAGACTCGGATTCGAGCCGAGTCACGGTGACGATCAAACAATGAAAAAATTATCAAGAATGAGGAGTCTTCCACAGCTGCTCGGGCTTGAAACTTCAACAGGTGAGAATAGCGTTGCTTAAATTCTCTTTCAACATAAATCGCTTACAACATAGTACTATTCCATCCTCATGTCAGAAAACAAATTAAGATTTCATCACGCGATTGTTTTAGGTGCCACCACCAGTAGTGGAGCGACTGGATATTGTACAGTGAAGACAGAACATGGGTAAGTACTATGTCACTTTTCTGTTTAAAAACTATAGAATACGTTTTTTGTCATCGAGGGAACCGACAAAAAGTGAGTAAGCAAAAGCAGAGTAAGTAACATTATCAAATACAGCGTCATAGAAGACATGTGGTAAGACGTTGAAACGAGCTGCCAGATTACAAACCCTTTCACACCGTACTTGGTCTCACTTGACCGGCACCCCGGATCAAGTCCAATTTTCGGCTACTAAGGATGTGCTGGATTACTGAGAAAAAATAATATTTTGATGATGAAATAGAATTCATTTTAATCCATAGCATCGACTGCTTTAAAAACTCGCTATAAAGATTCAATATAATTTTCAAGAATGTTCATAGCGCTAGCGAGGTTGGTACGCCAGAGCCATACACGCGTGTTTCGGAGGTCTCGACCTCCTCAACAGTGTCCCACGCAGTCGATGACTGAAAGTGGTGATAGCACAGTGTTATTGTATGTTGTGCCGTCACCACATATGCCTCCTTGGGCTACTGACGAGGAGGGTGAGACCTCCGAAACACGCGTGTATGGATCTGGCGTACTAACCTCTCTAATGCATTAAACATTCTTGAAATTATACAGAATTCATTTTATCTGACCGCCTCGTAGGGTGGTATGGTATTACAATATACCCAATGATGTAGAGTAGTGTGTAAGAACTTTTGCCTCAGCTAAGATTTGAACCCACATTTCACCCTATCCGAGGAGCGCGTGCTGAACCATTGCACTACCGACGCCCTTTTGTACACCACTCTTGCTGACAAATAACGCGTTGAACTATAGAAAAAGTAATGACAAAACGGACGTCGGTAGAGCAACGGTTCAGCACGCTTCACTGGTTAATGTGAAATGTGACTTCGAAGCTCACCTAACGCAAAAGTCCATGCACACCAGTAAACATCATTGGTAAAGAATATTTTTTCGGCAAGTAGAAGAGTTGATGGGCTACGAACTCTATGAGTATGAAGGTTCTTCTTCAGTTTTTTTTGCTTCCGAGTTCTAAGCAAAAGCAATAGTTTATCATAAAAATGAGATTTGATGAAATGGTTGATTAGCACTCAAATTTATGATTACTAAGCTCTTCCAAGGAACAGTTTCTTTTGCATTTTTCTAGACGCAAAATGAAATTTTCCCGACTGGAGCCCAACTCAAAATTCTTCTTCTACAAGCTAGCGATTGGCTGAAAAAGGTCTAGCAAAGAAGCTTTGTGCGATGAAAACGACACTGGAAAACATCCAGATTGAAAGCAGTAGGGTGCGACCCGATCTGAACGCTAAATTTCATAATAAATCATCGCGCATCAGCGCGAAAGGGTTGATTTCTACTATTTGCATTTTTGACTCTTACTGAAAAGATAGATGAGCTTCATTCTCAGTAGGACTTTCCATTTGATTCACTACAGTTGCTAGCATAGATATTTTGATTTGCTTTTCTTTCAACTACCGATGTCTTGGAAAAGCACCATAAACAAGAGTTATTTGAGCAATTCTAAGAATTTTTCTTACACTTACTTGTTTCACATATACCTTTACTTTCGACTGTTTATAGAGAAATCGATCAAAGCAATAGCAATCTGATAACATTTTTTTACCCTGTTTTGATGTCTGTTATAGCACTTATACATTGCTAGCCAAGTGTTTCGCCAGTGTAGGCTCATCAAAAGCACGGTGCCTTTCGGTTCAGCTAATTCCCTTCTGATCGGATGATTTGATCACTCGATTTGCGATAATTTAAATAAGTCGGCGTCGATTCTTTTATGGCTACGAGTATATTTCTCTGCAAAGGATTGGCTGAATCGAAAGGCACCGCGCTTTTGATGCGCTTGTATTGGCAAAACGCATGTCCAATCACTGTATAAGTGCCATACTGGACCTCATATAAGGCTGAAAATTGTTATCAGATTGTTAAGCGTATAGTTCTTACGCTTTGAACAATGCTTGGTGTTAGTTTACAGCGGATAAGCTTTTACATAAATCTGTTGAAGTCCCAGTCTTTGATAGCACTCGGAAAGCAGTAAAATAAGGTAATGTCTTCTGCAACTAAACGCATAAACTATATGATTCTTATTAAACTTATCTTCGACTGTTTCTCGCTTAATCGGTCAAGTTTATTACATCTAACATATTTGGTTGGGCATTACGTGTTAAACTTCTATCATATGTAGGACTGAGTATTTTACCGTGGTTCCTCGATTGCATAAAGCCTATGATACTTTATTTAGTTTTCATTTGAGATAAAATCTATGACGAAACTAACAGAGGAAGATATTTCAGGTCGACCTCAAGAAGATGCAAGCTTCTCCGTTTTCGAACGCAGCAGAAACTGCACACCTTAGAAAAATGAATTTTTCTTCCACATTTTTTGGTTTTCCAAGTATTGTACATATAAAGGTGAAAAGACTTTATGATATCTGGATGAACATATATTCATATATATGTACAACAAATAACAGTTCGCACTTCCACTGATAGTTAAACTCCACATTTGTAGCCGAAGTTTACCAAGCGTATAGCATCGACAGAATCGATTAGGTACTCGAATGAACGTGGCGAAACCAAATAAACGAAGCCGTTCGGTTGCATTCAAAGCATTCTCACTGTTGCTCCTCCTGTTCTATAGCTTTCAATCGCGGTTTCAATTCTGTCAATTTTAAATCATGATAATTAGGCTCAAGAACATCTTTATCATTGAAAATAAGAGCTATTACGATTAACGCATTTTCGCTGACGAAAAATCGGTCTACTCTTGAAGCATAAAAATCGGTGGTTCGCTATTTGACAAACTGTTGGAAAGCTTTTCTACAACTCATTGATTGTGAAGACGTTTTCCCTACAAGAAGCTGTCGGGATACTTTAAGAAATGGTATTCGGTGGGCGCAAGGTCCGGCGAATGTTCATGCGATTTATGCGTAATCCGATCTACTTTTCCATTTCGTTCAGTTCCTCAAACATCGGCTATAGTACATTAATACTTTTCAAGAATGTGGGCGATGTCATCCGCGAAACAAAGGTTTGATAGGGAAGTTACATTTATATGTATGCTCTTCTCCTCTCAGTCAAGCGAATCGTTATCCATTGCAGTGTAGTGGTGAACAATTTTGGCGATAACATATCGCGTTGTCGAGCCCCTGTCTAATGGGCACGGTAAGGAGTCGATGAAAAGCCGTATTTTCGCGGTTGCAGTTCCGATAATAGTCTCATGTAGTTCTCATGTATAGCGGATCCTTTTTGGACGAGCACTTATAGAACTGAATTCGTTTCGAGGCTACCGAATGCCTATTCATAATAATCGACAAAAAGTCAAGGTCATGGGCAACTGGTAATCTCGACGGACTTCTATGACATTTGATACCGTTAGAGTATAGTCCATGTAGTAGAATCCTTGTAGATCTTCTTGGTAAGCTTTTTGTACATCACTCAAAGATCTCAATATACGCAAAGGTATAATATTCTACTCAGAGAGCTTGCAAAGTACACTCATCAAGTCCTCCGGTCACGTTTTCTGCAAAGGTTGACTGTGTGCCATGTCCACCACCGATCTGGGATTTTTTCATTTGAAGATAAGACGCGATGTGTGCTGAGAAAGGTACATATAAATTATAGTCTCCAGCTCTCAGGAAGTCGACACTGATGCTATATGATCCCACGGCTGTGCTTTTCTTCATGCTTTTTATCACAACTTGAATTTGACAAGGTAGATACCCTAAACGTTTTTTTAGAGGGAATCCCAGTGTCCCTGATGTAGATGGCGGAGCGGAATAGTTTGTTGTAAAATTTTTCGGTATCGATTCTAGTTCACTGAGAGAAATCTTAGTGATCCCACATTCGTTTGTCACAGCTGACAGCTACGCAATAGACGTGCACAACATCCTGTGGCGCTTCTTCACACTAGTTTCTCCCTGTGCTGCTTTTAACATTTTCTTCTCTCGTACTGATGTGAGTCCTCTTATGGAGCTCTTATGCAGCTGACATTGGTTCACCAGTATCAAAAATGTTGCTTAGTAATCGAGTTTCAGCTTTCCTCTTTTTTCAACTAACTCATTCAAGGTCTGTATAGTACGGCTAGGATTTGAAAAAGGCGAAAAATCCAAAGCGTCTGCTAACGCTTTTGAAGATGACACACCAACCTCGCGTAGGCCTCGAAAAGAAACAGCTGTATGATATTTTAATTTTTCATGATGAGCTTTAACAAAACCTTGTCTTCCGATTTACTACGAATTATATCTGAGGCAATGATCAAACCCACAAACGAAAGAAGTTTGATAATTGTTGCCACGGTAAATGAAAGGAAACAAATCAAATGCAAGAAATACTGAGATCTGTATTGGATAACATATATGATGTCGAGTGATGTGATAAAAATAAAAAATACAACGTCTAGATCTGCAGAGACCAATGATACTGGAGAACGGAGAAGAAACATCACGTGTCACATTTATTTCATTAATTCGACTGCACATGACACGTCGTCACATTTACTGTGTAGATCGCACCACTTCTTCTATTCGAAACGTTTCCTCGCATTAATTATCGGCAAAGGTCTCCGCACCTCTAGCCTGCTGTCTCGACTACTGCTCAAGAAGGATTTTGTCTCCTTCGCTGATGTCGTAGAACGCTATACTAGTCGGATATTCTTGCAATTTTCCGGACAGTTAATGTAAGATTCTCACATGATTGCAGGTCGTTAGCACTGTCGGACAAGTTGAAACAGCGCCTGTATAGCTTTTGCCTTTACATTTCTGCCCCTCTAATGACGACGTTCAGGAATAGTGACGAAACAGCCGCCTATGCACTAATGTCTTCTGTCAAGTATAATAAAATGGAATACCCTCTCCTTTTTCAAGAAAGCGCTCATTTTTATCAGTTGCAAATTTGTAACCGGCACATATTGACAAAGAACGAAAACTAGAACCTTCCAAATCAAATGGTAAACATCTCACAAGTTATTGAATGTGAAAGTACTGTCATTAGACGAACATTTAGAAATCTCAGCGGCTTATCAGTTTCACAATGGCAGTGCAGACAGGTATACACAGCAATGACACTTTTATTCGATCGAATTGCAATGATCCGCAGTGAAACTCAAGAATTCATCAAATCGCCAGCTTCCCCAACACCTAATGTTACAGAGGCAAAAAGCCAACGCATCGGGAACTTAAATGCTGCTGTTTGAAATTTGTTGTTACGTGGTATTATGGCGTAGCCTAATACGTTACTCCCAAGTTGCCATAAAAGAAGACACCTGCTAGCACTCCCGGATCGTGGCGAAGTTCGCTACGTTGCGACAAAGATTCTCAAAATAACACTGGTAGAGCCTTCGTCACTCAACAAGCCATGTGAAATCGAGGAAGCCTCGATATCTTGCGACTGCGATTGCACGCTGCTATGACAGCGGGCATAAAGAGTAATAAAGTGTGTTATTTAGTAAACATGACCTAAGTTAAGTAACCTCACAATTTATAAGAAAACATTTATAGGACTACCTTGCACATTAAAGTAACACACAATAAATCATAATTCATGCTCAATCAACATTTTTGGAATAAGTATGTTTACCAACCATTTAGAATTTAATTGAACCCGAAGCTCACAATGGCAACAAAACCCCGTCAGCATCCTCGCACTAACAGACTAAATGATACCTAACACGGGTACAGTGAGACAACGATGATCAGTCCATGATATCGGTCTATAGTCTACCGAGATCTTCAAGTGACTGCATACAGCATAAATTCTGA